GGGAGTTTGAAAATATCCTGCTGGGTTTAGGGTTTCCCGTTACCGAGATAGTGGGGTAAAAAGATCCCTAGGAGCGAGAAAAACCGGGAAGAGCCCAAACAAAGAGCCGGAGCCCAAATTGCACTTCGACGCCCAGTCGAGGACCGGGATGAAGAGGGAAAGGGGGGGGGGGCATGGATCCCATGGCGAAACTTCCCGAGCTGCGCGATGCCGCCGGCGGAGCCACCCTCCCGCGAGTGTAAATGTGCTAAAATAATTCAGAAATGATCGAAAAATGGGAATTCGGATTCATAAAGGTGGGTAAGGACCCCCCAATATCACTGACAACCGCTAACGGGGGGGGGGGTGGTTTAGTGATTGTCAACCCCTGTGTGCACGGGAGGGATGCGCCGGGGGGGGGGGTCCCATGGAGCTGTCCCAAGGGAATGGGGTGCACCAGTGGAATGGGGTGACCCCCACTAGCAGTGGTAGCCTTTGACATGCTGGTGAGGGCCACATTCCAGTGCTGGCATCAAGCCCACATGGAGCCCTGAGAGCCCACCCCAATGGGTGCCCTGTGGGTGCTGGTGGGGGGCACCCCACGGTAATGGAGTGCAAAGCTGGGGAGCTGTGGACAAAGCAGCACCCCCTGCCTCAGCCCCATTGGCACGGGGAGGGGGGGAGCAACTTTGCAGCTGCAGTATAGAATGAGCCCAAGGGGGTTGAAACACCCCCGGGCGGGTAGAACTGCAACCGGCTGGGGGGTTTAGAGCCCCTCGGGGGAATTGCTATAGGTTGGGGGGGGGGAATAAGAACCCGTCGGGGGGCATTACAACCGGTCGGGGGGTCTGCAGAGGGTCTGTAACCGGTTGGAGGGGTTAAAACCGCCCGGAGAGGGGGGGGGGTACTGCAACCGGTCAGGGATCTGCAGCAAGTCTGCAACTAGCCTGGGGGGCTGCGATCCCCCGTGGGGGATTACAAGCGGTCCGAGGGTATTATAACCGGTCGGGGGTCTGCGGAGGGTGCTGTAACCGGCCGGGGGAGGCTGCAACCGGCTGGGGGGATTACGGGCAGCCCGAGAGCATCGCAACCGGCTGCGGGGTGCTGAACCCCCGGGATCGCTGCAGCCCCCCGGGGCCACCGCAAGCGGCTGGAGCGGGGAGCGGGATCGCCGCAGCGCCCCGAAACCATCGCAACCGGCCGCGGTGAGAATGGAGGAAAGGGGGGGGGGGGGGTCACCGGAGCGCACCGCAAACCGCAGCGGGCTGGAGGTCAGCCCAGGGCGGGGGGGAGAGGGGGGGAACCGGACACCGGGGACACGCACACGCTGCACCCGAGGCCCGCGCTACCGCACCGGGAGGGGAGGCAGTGCGGAACGGCAAGTTACTTCCCGCAGCGGAGGGGATGGAAAGGGAAACGGGGGGGGGGGGGGGGGGGGGGGAGAGGAAAGGAAAAGGGGGAAAGGAAAAGGGGGAAAAGGGGGGGGGGGTGTCCCCGCCGCCGCACGTGCCCCGCCGCCCGGTCCGCTTTGTCCGCGCGGCTCGGCTCGGCTCCGCCCCCCCCCCGCGCGGCGGCCCGGCGGTGAGTGACAGCCAGGCAGCCCTACCTGCCCGCCAATCTTCATCACACCGGCACCGGCCTGACAGCGCGGCCGCGATCGCCGCCCGCCCGCCGGCCCCGCCGCGCCGCCGCCGGCACGCCCCGCACCGCCCCCCCACCCACCCCCCCATGGACACGCCCCCCGAAACCACGCCCCCTCCTCCGGACACGCCGCTGGCTCCCCCTGCTGGCCGGCTCCCCTTAGCACCTCCCCTGGGCATCACTCGGACACCCCCAAACATCACCCCCCCCAAACACTTTTGGCCCCAGAAATAACCATTTACCCACCCCACCACCACCACCACCATCTGGGACCTCCCCAGGGGACCACTCAAACGCCCGCAAACACATTTCCCCCCCGACAATATATTTGCCCCCTCAGCAGCATCTGTCCCCCCCTCAAACAGCATCTGCCCCCTCTAAAAACACATTTGCCCCCTCAGCCGGCATCTGTCTCCTCCAAACAGATTTCCTCCCCACAAATACTGGAGCTGCTTCCACTGGGAGCACTAGGAAGCACTGAGAAGCACTGGGGCACTGGGAAGCACTGGGGCACTGGGTCCTTTAGCTAGATTTTCTCACATCTTATCTCAAAAGCCACAGGGATGGATATCTCCAGTTCATCCCAGCCACAGTTCAATTTCTCCTGATTTTCCATCCCCTTCCCTGATGAAAACTGCCATCAGCAGTGGGATTTGTAAGAAAAGCAGAATTTCTGGCCATTTCCTAAGGAATATCATATGGGAGAAGGAATCACTCAAAATATCCCTGGAATTCTTTTGGGATGGTAAAAATCAGCTCCAAAGAGTTACAGCAGGATGTATGAATGATACCTAAGGGATGGCTGTAAGGTCAGGGATGTGATGGGAGAGGTGGAAAAACAAGCTTAAATTTAAGGCCAGGAACTCAAACCAACTTAATTTTCCCTCTTGAGGTTCCCACATTTCTAAATCCCTCCTTCCAGCTCATCCTGCTCAAAACAAATCCCATCCAGAAAACATTTCCAGGTAACAGCAACATTTGTGCCTCTTACTTGAAAGCAACCTCTGAAAGACGTTGACCTCCTCTGGGTTGGTCGTTGGAATCGTGTTGCTGGGACAACCAGAGGAACTCTGAGCATTCCCCTGATCCTTTGGAGATGCCGGAGCAATGATTTATGGGAATTTCTTACCTTGTAAATCAGTTGACGGGATGGATCTCCTCGCTCTCTTCCTCATTCCTATTCCACGGAAGCGAGCAAAGACAAGGAGCCATAAAGCTGTCGCTGCTTGTTTCAGCCAGCTGGGAACGCCAGGAAAAAATAGTTCAGGATTTATAGGAGCTGGAGAACTTGAATCTGAAAGCTAAGGGAAAGGATGGGAACCCATCATCTTGGTGTCAAAGGACCACGGGATCATCCCCACTCAGCATCTCACCTTGGAAAACAGAGATGGAAAGAGGGCAAGGCTGTTTTCTCCAGTGCCAGCAGTATCTAGCATCCCAAATTCACTCCTTGAGCATCCCACGTCCACTCCTTGAGCACCTTTCTGCTGTAACAAGTCACCCCTGGATGAGCCTGTTTTGGTCTGATCTCGTCCTGCCATCCCTCAGTCCCCACATCTGCAGGGCCAGGGACGCTCAGCAGCATCCCTGCTGGGATGCAGAGCCACCTCCAACGAGGTGTCTGGTGGACAGCAACCCACTCTCCCTGCCCTTAGACCACCCTCCAGTGACCACAGCCCAGGGCTGCAGGTGGTACGCAGCTGGAAGAGATGCACAAACCCCCACAACCACAGGATCTTTCATCAAACACCTAACTCCACATCCCTATTCCAAACCAGAGTGTGGACTGCTGGAAAACCTTCCCTGAAATTTCACCCCCTTCACCTGTTGAGTCTCCCACATTTGGGGGTTGTGCCTTTTACGTGCCACAGAGCTGGGGTGAGGACATCTCAGAGGGATGGTTTCTTGGTGCACTCAAAGCCCATGTTGTGAATAGATCCTTACTGTGAACAAATCCATGATTATTCCTGAGTCCATGGACGCTCCTTCTCCAAAGTGACAAGTTCCTGGAGCAAGCTGGCTCAAATATTAAACATTTGGCAAGAGCAGGAACATCCAGAATAGGGAAAAGTCACATTTTTACATAACAGGCTTCGGGAGAAGACAAATGACATCAACTACAGTGGTTTAGTTGCTGTCACTGGGCTGCTCCTCCATAAATAATTCAGTTCCCTTTCCAAAACTGCCTTATTGCTCACATTGAATTCCTCTAAGAAAACTGTGATGGGATACTCTGGAAAAATACATGAGTGAAGCCAAATAAATTATTCAACAATAGATGTTGAAAACAAGAAGGTTTTAGGACACAGCCAAGGCTGAGCTTTGCGCTGAGCCTGACTTAAACAGAGCTCAAGGATGGAAGGGGAGGATATCCCGTCCAAAGCAAGTCGCTCAGTGGAAGGATGTCTGACCCCCTTGGGAGTTAAAGGATGCTAAAACGGGAAAAAATAGGACGTATTTTGGATCAGATGCTGCTCCAAATAGCTCAGAGGGTGGTGGTACCCACCAACCCTTCATCCCTCCAGCTCAGGTACCGAGCTGTGATCAACGGAGGATGCATAATCCAATGAATCCAAAAATCATGCTGGATTTTTACAAGACATTGAGGATACAGATGTTTCCCCACACATTTCAAACCCCTCTCCAGTTACAAGTTTCAAGAAGGGAGGAATCAAATCAGCCTTAAAACCAGCCTCAAAACCAACATAATTAACCTGGTATTGGACACACCAACAGCTGTGTCCAAACCCAACAATGTTTGTACCAAACCCAGGCTGAAATTAAGGGATCTCCCAGTTTTTAACTATTCAGCTCCTGGAGGATTCCTATTCAGGCCGATTTCCCTCTGCTTGTGGTTACTTTCCATACACACAGGCCAATTCCTCTTCTTCAATATGTTTGGTTTTACCTCTGCACATGATTTTCCTGGGAATAATAAGAGAGTAAATCCAAGATTTATGTCACTGAAGAGACGGCATCACGCATATTAAATAGTCTTAGGCACACCGTGATGCTACACTGACTTTACAACTACTAACAGATAAATAAACAGGAGAATATCATGAAAAGCTCTATCGATAATCCATAGGGACAAGGAGGATGTATTAAGAACAAGTGGTCGATGCCAGGATAGCTCGATATTCCCAGAGGTTTTTCCATGTGAGATTAAATAAGATTAAATCTTATTTCTTCGGTGGGATTGATGGATCGATAATAAAGCTAAAGCCAAAAGAAAGGATTTTTCCCTGTTACCCCCACCAAGCAGCCAGGATTGACTGGGAAGAAATGGGATTTCTCTCACGCTGGCTGAGCAGGGGTTAATGATGGCTTGTTGAGCCGGGAAAGCACTTTGGGGTCCTTCCAGAAGGAAAAATGCTAGATAAATGGCAGGTTATATAGATTTTGATTAGAAAAGCCCTGCTGCCAACTTCCTCCTTTTAAACGTTTCATTTCAGGGCATAATAAGTCCACGGCTGGTTCCTGCTGCTCCTTTAGGCTCTGCCATGCAGTTACTTCGAGCATCCGGCTGACTGATCCTTTCCCAAGCATTTCCAGGGATAAAGGGGGGAAAAAAGGAGGATCTGGATGTTTAAAGTGACTTACCTCCAGCACTTGAGCAACCTTTGGAGTCTGCTTTCTGAAGGCAATATCAGCCACTTGAGATAGGGATGGGCTGGAGGGATACACACCAGGATGAATAAAACATCTAAATAATCATAAAACTACACCTTGTCCAAATACTGTAGGAAAAAAAATGGGATTAACTAACGGGATAAGCCAGGGAAAGCAATAACACTCCCCTCCCAACTTATTTCACTCGGATATCTGCAGTACTTGGGTACCAGGCAGCCAACAAAAGCGATGTGGTGATGCTGAATCCTGCCCTTTTAAATTTTGGCTCCACCTGAGATGTTTCTTCACCTGAGATGTTTCTCTACCTTGGCTGGGCTTCAGCATCCCTTCCCCATCCCCGTTCCAGATCAGCCCATGCTGGGAGCTCAACCTCCACCCTCAGCATCTCCTTACCAAGCAACACAAGCCAGCACCAGCGCAGCTTTGGAGGAGCCGACGAAGGGAGAAGCAGGGAGATGGTCACAACTCCTTAAAGATGCAAATTGAGAAGCAACCATCATAACAAGGAGCTCTGTTAATTCTCTTTCAAGATGCAGATTTTAATGCTGACTTTTCCTAGGCTTATTTGTTTTATTTAGCAATAAATTTAATACTGGCTCCCTGAAGCAAGGAGACAGATGGACTATAAACTTTGAATTTTGAGAAGCTTTACTTCCTTAGGTTAGTGTCATCTTTGATCTCTCCTGAAATTACATCTAGGGAAGTTTGCAGGGATTGAATTCTGCTTTTTTACAGCCCTCAAAGCCATTTGATTAGCTGCCTTTGAATGTATTTTTTGCACAGGTTACCCAAAAGGATCTTAAATCCTGTCTAAATGATTCATAGCCTTGGCTGTTGGAGGTATCTCAGAGACTTGCTAATGGACCTGAAAAAACCAAAGCACTACATAACATCTCCTCTGCAGGCAAGGGGAAGTAAAGTAAGTGCTATGCATCTTTTGGGATGCAAAGCTCTCTAGATCCAAAACCAAAACTCCACGGCTGAGCTAAAACGGTGCCCTTGTAGAACTCCAGGCAGCCGGTGAATGGTTTTGGAAGGACCATGAAATCACAACACAGCAGGAGGGACTCATCTGGATACACAAGAACATCCTTTTTACCACTGACTCTGAGGTGTGTGAAAAATCCAGACTTTAACTGTGGGGTATGTGCTCCAGAATCTGGGAGAGGAGATCTTAAGGGCACCACCATGACATTGGAGTGAAGCTCCCAGGAGCCACGCGGCGCTTTGTCCTTGCGTACCCAGGTTCAACCAGTTCCCAGCTAATTTCCCCGCTGCCACACACAAATAAGGAAGGAAATTAAATCTAAAAGAACAAAACCCAACAAGAGCAGAATCATTTCCAAGCTGCTGCCTGGGGAACAGGAGGGAAAAATCGATCCACGGTAAATGAAAAAGGGTGGGAGCAAAGAGCCAAGGAGAAAAGGATGATTCAAACACCAAACAGGCTTGGCTTCCAGAACGAAACCCTGCCTGAATGTTCTGGGGACCATTTCAGTAGATGCTGGTAGCTCACGGTCACCCAGCATCCCACCATGGATGGATGCTGCCAATGCCCAACCCCTTCCAATAAGGAGACGTTACTGACCGCTCGATTACGATTGAATTACTACGGATGAACTTATTACGGGCACATTAAAGTCTAATGAGTGGCTGGTGATTAATGTCATTATGAGGAATACCAGAAGAACTAATGATGATGAGCCACTTAAAGTGAAGTGTCAAGGGTTTATTATCGATGACTCTTTGGTTTCTTGCCTAAAAACTCTTTAGTTGGAAGGAGGAAGAATATGACAAAGGTAAAGCAAAAGGTCTCCAAAAGCAACAACGCAAGAAGGTCCCATAATAAAACTCATTTAAGGGTAAGATTTATGGGAAACAGCATTTCCTGGAGAAATATGTTGGAAACCAAGAGTTTCTTGTAAAAACATCTCACCATGTGCTTTAACACCTTTGGGAATGCCATTATGAAAGCAAATTCTAATTCTCAGCATCTCCCCAGACCTGTTCTTGCCTTTATTTCTCCCCTTGACCTTCTCATATTCGTTTTCCATCAGTTCTTTGCCTCCTTCTTTTAGCTTTGCCTCTGCTCCATCACTTGCAAGGAGGGCTTTACAACCCAGTTTAAGCCTCTCTGGTGGTTTCTCACCTCCTTTCCCTCCTTGGTTGGATCAGATTTTGCTGCAATATCACTCAGGGGTGTTGACCCCCTGGGAAAATGTCACCCCATGTGGGCATGATGACATTCAAGCATCACCAGAAAATGACTATACGACTTTCATTTGGAAGGAAATCCCTGTGCTTTAACTTTGGAGAGTCAAGTATCAAAAAGCCTTTACTTGGACCGAGGTACAAATGTACAGGACTGAATTAAAATTGCTTTTAATGTAAAAAGCCACCAAAACCCTCAAAAAACAACCAACTTCCTCCCAGTTGGCAGCATTTTGAACATAACAGGTGATGACAGAGACATGCCCTCCTCCTTCATCCACCTTTTCCAAGTGCTTCTTGTTTGGGGTAGGACTCATCCCACCATGGGAAACGCTTTAGCTCCTCCACATCCCACCAACCAAAACCTTTCAGGGCTTTTAGAGGCATCTCCTCTTGGTGGGATGGGTTTTTCCCCTTTTAAAAGTGACTTCATATCCCATTTTATTACTTTCTGAACGTTGCAGGGTTTGTTCTCTTTGAAGTCTTACATCCTCATTTCCCGTCAGGACGATTAAAATTGATTTCCGCCATCAGCAAGAGAAAGATAATCTGAAGTGGGCTCCTGAGGGAGAGAGCTGAATCCCCACGGAGCCATTACAAACCCTCTCCTATTATTTTAACTTTCTTTTCTTCAGGATTTCTCTTTGGAAAAGGGCAACTTAGCACTTCTCTGCCATATGTGTACTCCAAGAAGAAGGGGGAAACTCTTTTAACCTCCTCTATTTCCACTGCAGAAAGCGGACATGGGGATTTAAATAGCTCTTGTTTACCACCACCACTCACCCAGAGGTATTTTTAGAGGGGTAATCGGATCCTCCTGACGCCTTTGCTTGGCTTTCTTCAGCTCCGCATCCTCCGGCCCCAGCCCTGCACCTGTCCCGGTTTGTATCCAAGGAAGACAAAACGGGATGGGGTGTTCTTTCCCAAGTGCATTAAGCCGAGTGATTCCTGGTGCTTCCTTGCAGGAGGAAGAGGGTGGGATTCAGGCTAGAAAATCATCTCCAAGGTGTAAAACCTCCAGCTGAAAAGAAAGACATGGAAAGAATGGGCATGGAGGGCGAGCAGTGCTTAGGGATCCAGCTGTGAATGCCTTCATCTACTTCCTAAATCAACTAAATCTGTAATATCCTAAATTAAAAAAAAAATCAATTAAAACCAATTAAATCATTTTTAATAAATTTTTAAATCTATTAAACAAATATAAACATTAATTAAATCAACTAAACCCTGAGCAGACAAAATAATCTCCAAAAGACACCAAAACCACCTCTAAAATAGAAATATCATCTTTCCAGGCTGGAGGATCTCAGGGTCTTGCCCCTGTCCCACTCCTGCGCTGCTTTACAACAAATCCATAAGCAAATTTATGCAAATGAGGGGGGGTGTTGGTGGTTCCTATTGCAATTAAGGGGGAAATAATGAGCTTGTATCAACGCTTCAAGACCTCAGCTTATCCCAGCCACCATCCCAGCCCACAAGAAGCCACCCCAAGAAGGAGGTCCCCAGCCAGGTCCCCACCATCCGACCGAAGGCACCTCCATCATCAGGCTCAAATATCTTTACAAGGGAGTAATTTAACGCCATCCCCAGCTTAAGCTCCATATCTACCGGGCGTGAAATTAGTTCCAGCAAGCTGCAAATTTGCTGCTAATAAAAATATTTAGCAATTCGCTGGTCTTTAAATCAGGAGCAGAATATTTTCGTGCTTGCATCAACGCTTGTTTCTTTCTCATTCTAATATCCGAGTATCAGGGAGCTCCAGCCATAAACCTGCAAGTTTTACGACTGCGCAAAGAGTTCTAAATCAATTCCCTCACTGCTCCCAACCTTGCCACTGAGGGGCTGATCATTTCATATCACTTGATGTTAGACATTACTGGCCATTGTGGTCACCAGGATGAGCTGGGCATGGGGGATTTGCAGGGTTTTAACTCAAAAAATGCCATCTTGAACCTAGGGCCTGCTCCTTGAGTGACATCTTACAAAGGAGCTTTGATCCATGTGATCCTGCCTTGCAGCCCTTGAAGGAAGGTGACTTCTCCATCCTCCTGGGCCAAGCATTTAATTAGCCTCAGCACTAATTGCATCTCTCTGCCAAGTTCATTTTGTCCACTTCCAACATCAGGATGTTTTTCCATGCCTTTGCCAAGAAACGCTGCAATTCCCTGATCTTATCCTTAGGAAAAACCACCCTGTGGTGATGAAGCATCCTTCAAATCATTCCTCATCTGATGCCAGGGGAGGCTGAGATAAAGAAGAGGGTGTTTAGGATGATGTGTTTGGTTGCAGCTGGGTTGAAGAAATTTCTCAGGAAGCTCATGCTTGGGAAATATCACATCGATGAGGTTGGTTTTCCTGGCTACCATCTCCAGTTCCTTAGCTGTGGATTTATGGCTTGAGCTCGGAGAAACCCATGGCCCTGCTGAAATACCATATGTGGCATATAAATAAATATTATAGGGATATGTTGGGCTGCTGGGAATCATTTCAACTCCAAAGCTTAGTGCTTGAGCTACCATCAGACCAACTGTGCTGGACACAATTGACAGGATTAAAACCAACAAGCAACATGGCTCAAATCTGATCACTGGATGTGATTGCTGGGGCATAGATCAGATTTATTCCTTGACTTCTGGTCAAATATCTGGGATGTGGTGTGGGTCAGCAGCAGGTTCAATAGCTGAATGATTCCAGCTCTGTGCTACAACCACTTGAACTTGCTTGACATTGTCATTGTGGCATCAAGAAACTACCAGGTAACACCAAGAGGAGATGAAGGAGATAATAAAAAGTGAAAAGAGCCAACTGATATGGGAACAGGTTAAAGACGCCATTGTAAATTCTGTGGATAAAAGGTAGAAGGGAAAATTCAGTAAAGGAAAAGCCTCGCTGGCTGATGCACAAAGATTATCACTTTTAGATGGAAAGCTAAAGGATGGAGGAGTCCCTTTGAAAACAGGGCTATGTAAAAGAAATTTGGGGGTTTACAAACTACTGGGGTCCAAAAATGCAAAATAAAGGGGAAAACGGGGAAAAGCAAAGGGAGATTCTCAAACAACAGAAGCAAATCTGATGAGGGCCTTAGTGATGTGGGTTAGTGGTGGCCTTCGAAGTGCTGGTGTAAAAGTTGGACTTGATTGTCTTAAAGGTCTTTTCCAACCTGGTTGATTTTAGGATTCATTTGATTTCTGATTGCCAACAGGAGCAGGGAGCATGGGAATAACAGAGAAGGGTTAAGAAGGTGAAGATGGACATTGCCAACATGGGTTTTTGCAGAAAAAGACTCCCCTGTGGTGGGATTAATGACACAAGACAGCGCAGGAGAGCTTGCTATCAAACATACTCGTTTAATGTGTTGGCATCAGGTTCCTACTCGATGCCAAGTGAAGGCAGGTGTTGGAGACAGTCTGTGCTCTGCTTGCTCAACTGGGGGGATGTCACGCTGGTGATTTTGATTTCATCGCAGGAAAAGGCAGGTCGATGCCACGCAGCATAATTAACCACCAGTTTATTCCTCCCATTGAAAGGAATGGCAGAAAGAAAACAGCAGGTTTTTACCTCATTTTATGCAGTCAAGGTGTCATCAGGCTTCAAGGAGTTGAGAGGAAAAACTGAATATATCATTTTATGCTGGTTTTTTTTCAGGTTAACAGGTAGATGAGTCCTAAGAACTAGCATAAAGTCACCATCAAACCACACCGGCCCGAAAGCAATGGTCAAGATGCAATAAGGGAGAAAAAGGGTTTAAAAACAGGCAGAAAAAATGGGTTTTAAATGGAAATCCGTCACGTCTGGGTGTTAAAGGCTACTCAGTGCGTTGACAAACCTCCTTCGCTTGGCTTAGTGGCCCTTGACCCCCAGTATGGCTGTCCCACAGCCACACAAACCCTGCTGTCATCAGTTTGTATTAACCAAACCTGCCTGCTTTTAGCCCTAAATAACCTGAGGGTGCAGGCAGCTGAATCTGTAGGACCTGGGGAACTGAAACCTTGTTCAGACAGTGGTGCTCCCTGCAGCACGGTGGGCAGGAGCCTGTGCAATGAGCAACGCTGGGTTAATTAAGCACCGATCCATATACAACAGGATAAGGCGTGGGGGAATCACGGAATCAACCAGGTTGGAAAAGACCTTTAAGATCACCAACTCTATACCTTTGCCTACCAAGGCCACCACTAACCCACGGCACTGAGGGCCTCGTCTACACGGGGCGTGAACTCTTCCATGGACGCTGACTCCTAGGCAGCCTGTTCCAACGCCCGGGCATCCTTTCAGTGAAGAGTCTTTTGTAGTCAGGGCAGCCGGAACGGGAATGCCACCGAGAACGGGAATGCCAACGGGAACGGCGACAGCGAGAACGGACCCCAGTGGCGCGCCCCCGCGTGTGGCAGCGTGGGAAAAATCACGTCCCCGCGCTCCCCCAGCCAATAGGAAGCGGCGGGCGAGCGGCGGGCGGCGCTGAGTGGCTCTCGCGGGCGCTGAGCGCCGCGGTTGCTAGGGGGAAGCGGCGGGGCAGCATGGCGGGCGCGGCGCTGGGGCTGGGGCTGGGCCCCGGCGTGCTGGCGCTGCAGCTGCTGTGGGCGCTGGCGCTGGTGCTGTGCCTGGTGCTGTCCCGAGCCGCCGGGCGAGCACGGTGAGCACGGGCGGGCCGGGGAGAGGCCGGGCCGGGGGCTGAGGCTGAGGCTGCTTCCCGCTCCCCTCCAGGTTCACCGTGGTGCTGGTGGCGCTGGGAGCCGCCGTCCTCAGCGCCGCGCTGCTGCTGTTCCCGCGGGAGGAGGAGCGGCCGAGCACCGCCGCCGTCTATGAGGTGGGACCGCGGCCCAGAGGGGCGGGTGTGCGGGGCGGCACCTCGGGGCGGGGGCCGCAAGGGGGGACCCGAGGCCCCGGGGATGGGCTTTCACCTCGGGATGGCCCGTGGGAGTGAGCCTTTACCTGGGGATGGTCCCTGGGGATGAGCCTTTACATCAGGATGGTTCCTCTGCGCAGGAATTGCCCCCATGCTCTTGTCCTTCCCGGCTCAGCCCTGAGCTCCAGCAGCTCCTGCTCCCCCTCTGCCATCCCTTTTCCAGCTTGGGCCATGTGTTTTCCAGGCTCCCTCCTGCCTCCATCACCCAGCGCACTCTGGATATTTCCCCCTCTAATTCTGCAGCGGTTCACTGTCCCCAGCTCTGGGTTTGCATTCTAAAGCCTGATAACCGCTCTTCAGCTCTCTTACAGGTTATTCCCGCGCTCAAGCATGGAGCCATCTGTGTGTGTGCGGAGCCCCTGGTCTGTGCTGTCAGGCACAGGGATCTCCCCTCAGCTGTGGGTCACATCAGCCTGCCTGAGCTTCCCCAGGGCTCCTCGGGCTGCGAATACACAAAGTTTAGTGGTGTTTTAGGTGCCATTTCCTCTGTTCGGTTATTAATGCACATTAATTACCGCTCTTCTAGATGCTGGGTCTGTGTCAATCCCAACTAAAGACACTGGGAAGTATTTTGTCTTTTCTCTACCTTGCTCTTGTAAAGGTTGGAAGCGAGATGAAAGGCATCTGAGTGTGTGTGTGTGCCCGGGAGAGCAACAGAATTGGAAAGCTTATACCTTCAATTGGACTGGCCCTGCCCTGCCTATCAATAATGCATGACCTGGGCTTTCTGCACCGAAACCCTGCTAACTGCCTCATTAAAAAGAGAAACGTGCAGGAAGAGCCAACGCTTTCACTCACAGGAGACTCTTCCCGCAGCAGCACCAGGGCTGAGCGTGTGCTGGTGGGATTTGTAAGGCTGAGCTGGGCCGAGCGAAGCTCTGCTGTGGGCTCAGGAGCTGGGAGGATGATTCTGTAACCTGGCTCCTCGTTGTGTCTTGCATTGCTGCTGGGCCCTCGTTTTCAGTCTTCTCTTTTCCCCACTGCTCCCCTTCTAAAAGGATGCTTTTGGCCAGGGGGAGCTGCTGCGGGTTTTGTCTTGTGTTTCTTCCCTGTGCTGCTCCTTTCCTCCACATTTCCTTTGTTCAGACGAAAGGGATTCTTCTTCCAGTCATTCCCGCTTCCCGCAGAGAGCACCGGTGTCAGGAATGAAAAGCGAGGGGAGAAGTCTGGGGGAACCCCACTGGTTTTCCTCCTGGAGCGATCTTCTCTGACAGCACTCTTCTGCAGGACGTGGCGTGCTCCCTCCAGGCTCCTGTAATGGGTGTTGTGGTCTTTCCTTTTCCTCCCTTCCCACTGCAGATCGTGGACACCTTCTTAATCGGCCGCTTTGTCCTCCTGGCTGTCATGTCCCTGGTCTTACTTGGGTGCCTGTTCCTGTTCCTGATCTACCACCTCATGGAGCCAGTCTACGCCAAACCGCTCCCCCGCAGCTAGCAGCAGCTGGAGGCAGCAATCCCTGCCAAAAGGAGATCCCAGGATCGTGGCAGTAAACCAGGAAAGGGAGACCAGGAAGCTGTTCTGGAGGTGAACCCATCGGTTTACCAGGCTCAGAAGGAGCCAACGAAGCAACTGAAGTGTTTTGCTGCACGCAGAACTGTGTCTTTCATCTCTAAAAGCAAAGTTTGGCCAGGCTGGATGTGATTCTGGGCAACCTGGTCTAGCTGAAGCTGTCCCTGCTCATTGCAGGGCGTTGTTATTGGATGAGCTTTGAAGTCTTTTCCAACCTAAACCATTCCATGATTCTATGATTGGGCATGAGCACCTTCCTCTCCAGATGGGTTTAAGCCTCTTACAGGTCCCAGAGGTGCTTTAACTTCTCTCTTCTCTTTTCCAGGAGAGTTGAAATCCGTGCACTTTGTGCCACACTTGATCCAATGCACTGAACCGAGATGGTTTGTTAGTGTGGTCCACAAGAGCTGGTTTGTTACTGTTCCTTTTTCACCCGTAATAAAGCTCTCTGAGAAATCCCTGACTCGGTGTTTCTCCTCCAGGAACATCACCTTTTGCCACCCTATGTCTCTGAAACCACCTTTTCCCATCCAGATGTGGGGATTTTGGAAGGTCTGCGTGTGGCTCTGGATTGCTGGGGACCGTCCCTTTGACCAGAAACCTGAGGCTTTGGCGGGGGGGGGAACAAGACCTCAAATGATGCTAAAAAAAACAAACTAAAGTTTCCCCTGGTCAAGGATGCGCAGGAGAGACAGATCTGGCCTGAACAACCCTGCCTGCTCATGAAGGGACCCTCTTGCTGCAGCCCTGTGCTGTGCTCAGGGGTGATGTAGCCCCTCATGTAGCAAGACTCAGCTCTCACACTGCTTTTTAGTTATTTCCCCATTTATAGAGAGCTTTTTTTGGTCTTTATGTCCCTTTGAACTGAAGATGGTGAGCAGTGAATTGAAGCTTCTCCCAGCCCTGTCCTGACTGCTCTCAGTCACAAACTCCCACTGTCAGGGCATGAAAGAGGAATCGGGCAGAGCCAATGAGCTTGAGGGTGATGTTTCCCCTGCAGATAATATATACTTATATATATAATATATATATACTTACATATATATATACTTATATATATAAGTGCCCCAGCACTCACACAGCCAGCAAAAAACATGGAATTACCTGTCAGAAAAAGGCAGAGGAGAGTCATCTCTGGTTCCTGAGCAGAGTAAATGCTCAATCCCAGTCTATCCCGAAGCCTGTATCCAAGGGAGTGGAACTATCATGTTAAGGAACATGCTGAGCATTTATGCAATGCAGCGTGTCAGGTCTCTTGGTGATTTGGATATTATGCCTGAAACCAAATTCATATTTAATTCATCATCTTAATAACATCTATGAACATGAAGCCTGGCTCTGGCTCCAAGCCTGCCGTGTCCTTACTCCCTGTGCTTGTGAGGATGATTTGGAGAGGCTTTGGGTCGGATGAACGGCGAAACTGTGGCAAAAGGAGCTGGGTCACGAAAAATCCCAGCCCTAGAAGCAGCAATGGGAAGCTACTCGTGGTTTGGTGCCACAAACAAAGCCAAGATTTGCTTTTCCCCCTCCCCTAAATCCATTTGTAACTGAAGTCAAAAGGGTCATGCTGCGGGGGGGATTTTGGGAAGAGCGAATGCTGCACTGCAGGAGGAACGTGGTGGCTCCTGCATGAGGAGACCATCCCAGAAATCCCATTCATTAGGGAAAGAGCCCCATGCGCTCTCCCCTTTACCTCCCCAAAGACATTCCCAGCTCTGTCCTCATCCCTTGCCACCCCTGGCAGTGGGAACCAGCTGGATGCACTCAGCCTGGGCTCTCTCCCTGTATTTATTTATTCTGGGCACTTCTGCTTCTCTCGGTGCAGGGGCTTTCCAGACAGTTCCTGTTTATTTTTGGGAAAGGAAAGACCGCGTCAAGGAATTGGTATGAGCTGTTTTCCAGGCAGCCCCAAATGGTGATGTTTTGCTGCCATCCCCTCACCCCAACCCTCAGCTCCCGGGGGATAACCTCCTGCCTCTGTCTAGCATCCTGATCCTTACTTTTTCCAGTTAATGTGCAGCAGGAGGGTGGGTTTGGCTTGCATCCCAACCTCCTCCTCATTGGGAGCTCAGGAGGTGTTATAGCCAAGGAGCCCTGCTCTCGCCCCACACACCCCACACCCCCCCCCCAGCTTTATACCAAAACTATGAGCAAATGAACCCAGCTTTCCTTTTGCTCCAAATATCCCATTGTGCCAGCCCCATACAAGTGAAAAACCATGCTAAATCCCAGTGGGAAAAAAGGATACCAAAAGACACTGCACTGGGATGAGGGTGGCCGAGCCAGCTCAGGTGGGAAAAACAGCCCTTTTCCCCCCTAAATTCCCTGCCTGGCTCCTTAGATACAAGCGGGGATGCTCCCACACCAGGATGCTGGTACCTGGGGACCCAAGGGCAGCTCCTGGCTGGTGCCAGGGTGGGATGGAGGGAGCACAAGCGTCTGCAGGGGAAACTCCTTGATTTAAGGAGCTGAATCCTTGAATGACGGCAATTCCTCACGCTGCGCTCTGCCGGCACTTAATTACCCTCTCTGGTAAAAGCTGGCCTCTTATTTCCACCTTGACTTTGCTGACTTCAGCTTCCCGCTGCTGAATCCCGCTTTGCCTTTGGCTGCTAATTAAAAAGCCCTTCAGCGTTAGCCGGCTGCTCCTTGCGTAGGTCATTATGTGCTCCAGCCACCTCCTCACCTTCACAGCATCCCGGCGGATCAACGGCATTCCTTCAGGATGTGTGCAGCCCCCTTGCCAGGGCTGGGGGGCCGTGGTGTCGCCCAGGCTCTGTTTTTACCAGACAGGCTCATAATGAGCCCATTTTAGGTGTGATTCTTGTTGCCATCCATGGGGCAGCAGCGTGATGGTGCTCTCCCGGTTCACACACAGGATGCTGTGTCAAGAGGCTTCGGTGGGGGGGAAGCAGCGGCCCCTTCTCCAGCAAAGGAAGGAGACGAGGTGAGCCTTGCAGACACCTCCCAAAGGAGCTTGGCAGGGTTTAAACAGCCCTTTGGCTGGAGCAAACCCGGGGGATCCCCCCTCTGCCTTCCTGCCCACCCCTCGGTCTCTCGAATCTCAGCGAGAGCTGGGGTTTTCTTTGGCATTTGGTCCAGGTTGGAAGCTGAAAGCCGCTGTGGGCTGTCTGCCCTCTCTCCTCGCTCCCAGCCAAGCGCTGCTCACACTTTCCAAGCACGAGCGGGATGCGGCCCAGGCCTAAATTTATCCCAAAAAAATGAACAGAGAGGAGGTGGGGGGGGGGGAAGGAATAAAGGGAAAACAACCCCCAAGCAAGTTGTGTTTTGCTGTGTATGTCAGGGCTGGTGGGATTTGTTGCTTCAAAATAGATTCCAAGCCCCCCCAACATCCTCCTCCATGAGGTGAAGGTAACTGAGAGCTCAGCCCAGCATCCCTCCTGGTCCTTGGTCCTTGTGCCATCAGAGGCCACGTGGCCTCAGGATGCTGTGTGGCTCCACGGGATCATCTGCTGAGGACAGACCCTGTCGTGACACCTCTCCCTATGGCTCCACTAGGGTTTGCCTTGGGAGGGGTGTTATTTTCCTGGGAAAAAAAGGGTCATTGGGGATTTTGGTTTTCTCTGCCTGCCCTGACCATTTTTCCTGCTTTCTCCATAGGGACCTGCAGGCAACCAGCCTCATTGAGCATCTTTGGTCAGCATGGCGGGGACCAAAGGCCTGATATCACCATCCAGCCACCTCAAACGTGTGGCTGCCACTCTCCAAGCTGCCTGTCCCCTTTGCCGATGAAATCAGCACTTAATAAAAATCACATCAGGCCCAGATGTTTTAAGATCCAAGGAGGTGAAGTCAATTAGAGCTCAGATTTATACCAGGCAGCTCCCCTCTTGGTGGGGAGCTGGAGCCTGGCACATTCCCTTAATGGTGACCAGGCTGAGAAACTCACCTCATGGCTTGTGAATACCCCAACTCCTCACACACCAAAGCTGTCCCCAACCCATGAGCACACGTCTGGCTCTGTCCCTTATTGAGTGATGATGGGGTCTCTTGCCCCCATCTTGCCCTCTTGGTCCAAGTGGTGGGTTGAGACAAGGAGTAAAAGCAGCTGAATTTGGGCTCAATGAAAACCTTGGGGATGTTCTCTATGTAGAATAAGCAGCACTTTGAGTCAAGACAGTGCCTTAAGTGCTTTGGAGCCATCCTCCTGGTCCAATAACCTGAAATACCAAGCACAGGGATGAGGCAGGCTTCCAAAGGAGAGGAGAAAAGCATGAAGAGGGGCACAACCACCACTCCCAAGTTGACACAGACCTGGCCGAGCCCTGCCGAGACACAGCAACACAGGCTTTGCACATTTTTATTAATAAAATGGCCAAAAGTGAAGATTCAGCCCAAAAAGCTGCTGTGCCGAGGCCCAGGGACTGCTCCTCTCTCCGAAGCCAGCCCAGGGCGGCAGCAGGAGCCCATGGGGCTATGCCTCGGCTCTGCCGAGAGAAACACGCTCCTGGCGTGCTCCAGCCTCTCTGCTCCCTCCAGGCGGCTCACAGGGATCCATCAGAACTCCTTAAACCTGCATGGAGAGAATCGAGGGGCTGAGCATGGTGGGAGCCCCCCCGGCAGGCGCTGGGACCGTGCTGCTGGAGGGATGCAAAGTGAACCCCGGCCCGTCTGCAAGCCCAGAGGAGAAACAGGATCCAGGAGAAGATGCAGCCACCGCTCCACCTCTGACCAAAGCTCCGCACAAAACACCCCCAGCACCTGCGCCTCCTCTCCACAAGCTGCTCCCAAAGCCCTAGAGCGTGCTGAAGTATTCCACAACCAAGCCAGCTGCTTCCCACAGCTCACAACAACACCCCGGTTTTGGCACAGCCAGGACAGTCCTCACCCCAGCCAGCCCTGGCACAAGGAAATGGAGCCAACAGCCCTGAGAAGGAGATTTGGGCTGCACTTACCACAGCGCAAGACCCACACTAATGGTCTTTTCACCTGCAAACACAAGATATAAGGGCCAAAGGTTCATGGGGAGTACGGGGTCTGGGGCCCCACTGCCAGGACTGGAAGTGCTTGATGCTCCAGTGGCAATCAGAGGCAGGGCAGTGCTGATTTGGAGGTATTTATACCCTTGCTGCAGTGATTTGGCCATGGCTTTGATTAGCGAGCCCAGGCTGTGTGTAATCAAGCTCATTAGCTTGGGTGGGCAGGGCAGCCTATAGATTTGGCTGTTTCAAGTGTGTTTAATCAATGCCAATCAATCAGGCACCATGGCTAACATCTTATCAGCCAGAGACAAGGACACGCTGCCCACCCACCCATCCACACTCTCTTCCCTGGCCATCACCATTTGATTCCCAAATCCTGATCTCAACCCTTTGATTATCAGCAGAGCCGCTGTTGGAGGCTGAGCCTGCCAAGCAGAACTCGAAAGCGGGGCGAATCAGGCTTGAGTTTGCATTTAATCCTCAGGGCTTGAGCAGAAATACTCACACCGAGCTACTTCCCATCCAGCACTGACTCTGTCAGCTGCACACTAGAGCTACAAAGACACAAGGACCGCGTGTTTAGCACCAGGAGAGGGCTGAAACCCCCCCGGGGGCTGCCCTGGATCAAGGTGAAAATGTCTCTCTGTGCCTAACGTGGGCAGGCGACCTGGCAATGCCCACGTGAAGGTGCAGCAGGGACAGCAAGGGATGGCAAATGTCTTTTCGGAGCGGTACCGGTGCCCTGCTTTGGGATTGCAGGAGCAGAGGCTGCCCCGGGGTGGCACGTACGTACCCTCTCTTCCTCGCCATGTAGCCACACCACCCGCGGACCTCTTTGACCACCACGCGAGTGAGGAGCTGCAGGAGGAAAGGCGCAGGGTCAGGTCACCATGGGGGGGTGAGGGTTCCCAACCAGGAGAGAAATTTTAAGGCTCTTCCTAGGGAAGATCCCATGAACTGACACCCTGTGCGGAGCAGGTTGTTGGGGAAAGCCAAGCAAACAGAGGCAAAGGTTTGGAGTCATAGAATCCCAGACTGGTTTGTGTTGGAAGGGACCTTAAAGCTCATCCAGTTCCAACCCCCTGCATAGGCAGGGACACCTTCCACTAGAGCAGCTTGCTCCAAGCCCCTGTGTCCAACCTGGCCTTGAACACTGCGAGGGATGGGGCAGCCACAGCTTCTCTGGGCACCCTGTGCCAGCGCCTCAGCACCCTCACAGGGAAGAGCTTCTGCCTAAGAGCTCAGCTCAGTCTCCCCTCTGGCAGGTTAAAGCCATTCCCCTTGGCCTGTCCCTACAGGCCCTTGTCCCAAGCCCCTCTCCAGGTTTCCTGCAGCCCCTTCAGGCCCTGGAGCTGCTCTAAGGTCTCCCCTTCAGGAGCCTTCTCTTCTCCAGGCTGCCCCAGCCCAGCTCTCTCAGCCTGGCTCCAGAGCAGAGGTGCTCCAGCCCTCGCAGCATCTCCATGGCCTCCTCTGGCCTCGCTCCAACAGCTCCACGTCCCTCTTGTGCTGCTGCCCCAGAGCTGGATCAGGACTGCAGGGGGGGTCTCCCCGGAGCACAGCAGAGGGGCAGGATCCCCTCCCTGACCTGTTGCTCACGCTCTAGGGGTGCAGCCCAGCAGATGGGGGGGTTCTGGGCTCAAGCACACACTGAAGCTGGGTCATGGGGAGCTGCTCCTCACCCAACACCCCCAGGTCCTTCTCCCCAGGACTGCTCCAAATCACTCTCTGATGCAGGTTGCCCTGTGCCTGGCGGTCTCAAGGACCATCCCTGCCCTCCACCAGCAAGCATGGTGGCTAAAACGGAGGCCTCAAACACCCAGGGTAGCAAAGTAGCTCCTGCTGAGGAGGGACCTACCAGGCAAGCCAAGACATCCGCTGCTATCAACATGTAGAACACGTTATTCCAGCCCGTGGGGGAGATGAGCCCTGCAAGCAGTGGCCCTAGTGCAGCACCTGTGAGGGCACACAAGCATGTTAGATGTCCTGTGCATGGGAGAGGGGACCACAGCGCTCACCAGCCATACACACCTATGGATCCTGTGCCATCAATGATGGCTGTGACAGTAGAAAGGGCTTTGGCATTGCCTTTGAGAGACTCATGGGTTCCCTGTTGGGATGGAGAAGTAAAACATCAGGAGAAAAAGCAGCTTCAGGGTCTGCAGCCAGCGTCCTAGTGTGAGGCTGTTCACATCCCAGGCAGCAATCTCCATGTGGCAGACCCAGCCATGGATGGGAGACCGAACTCAGGCGCTGCCTGCAGCCAAACCATGGCAAAACCTGGATTCTCAGCAGCAGGCAGCAATCCCAGGTGGTTTCACAGTGCATTTGCCCACTGACAGTGGGAGATGCAGAGGAAGATGCCGCAGGGCTGAAGCAGAGTCACACAGCCAAGGTGAAAGAGCATAGGAAAACAGCCGTGTTTCAGGGAAGGTAGGGACCAGAGTGCAAGGTGTGCCAGCCCTGCCTTCCTCCACTGCGCTTAGGTTTGCACAGCAAAGCTGGAACGCAGAAATCCCAGCCACCATCCCTCTGGGAAAGAGGGAGCAGCTTTTGGGGGGTCTGAGATGTGCCTCTCACCAAGTCTGCTGACACGGCCGTGGTGATGAGCGCGTAGGGCCCGTTAACCAGAGCGCCGCAGACAATCAGCATCGCTGCGCGGAACAGGAAGAGATCAGACCTGGCAGTGCAGGGAGCAGCAGGACGCTGGGCCCCATGCATCCATCCTGCATTTCTCTGTGCTCCCACCCAGCACCATCCTCCACAGATCCCAGACCAGGAGCCCAGGTCAAGAAGAGAAATGAAGGGAGGTGATTCCACAGCATCTCCCATCCCTTTGTGGGATGTGCCAAGGAGCTCCTTACCTATGGATGTGCCAATGCCGTTCTGGCCAACATGGTTATACAGGAACAGCTGGAAAAGAGCCATAAGATGAACAAGTTATAGCTATTCCAGCTGTCTTCTATGCAGCAGCAGCACCCAGGGACAGGACAGAGAAGGTAGGGACCTGAATTATCACTGGTGATAAGCCTTACAGACCCCAGCCAGGATTAGGGAGCTGAGTGCGCCCTTGGCTCCATATCCCACTGTCTGCCTGCCAGATGGAATTCCTGGCCGCTGGCAAACAGAGCTGCTGCCACGGTTTATGGCCCAAGGAGGCTCGTGCACGTCCGTGCTGGCTGAAGCCAGGCAGTGAGTTAGTGGGGATGCGGATGGGATGCAGCCTCTCGGCTTTTCAGCAGGGAGAGGGTCAGAACCCAGAGTCAGACAGGCTTGGATTACAGCTCATTAGCCTCGCGTTTGTGGCAGCAAAGCCAAATGAACTCCATGCAGGTGCTTGGGAAGGACATCCAAGCATGAGGCTGGCAGCATGGGGGCTTTTGGGATGCAAAGCAAAGAGGCAAAAGCTGGACAGACTGAGTGGGAGCCCCTAAAGTCTTTAAACCAGAGCAGGGTTACGGCGGGGTGGAGGAAAAGAAGAACCCCAGAGGGGTTGTTTAAGCTGGTGGGCTCTGCAATCCCCTCCCAGCCCTCAGTTGTGGAACATCTGGGCATGTGGATCTATCCCAGCTCTTAACTCAGCCGAGCGCGTGACCAGCTTATCCCGGGCTTGGGAAGAGGATCACAAGAGGAACAGGCTGTGACTCAAAGGAGCCGGAGCAGAGGAGACCCTCGTGACTGGGTTTTAACCCCGCGTGACAACGCACCACGGGAGCGGCGAGGATCAGCATCACGCAGCACGTGGTGGCTCTGCCCCCCGTGTAGTCGGAGATGAGGCCGGCAAAGATACCCCCTGCAAGGAGGAGTCATGGGTCAGTCACAGCACCCCAGCAGCAAATCCATCGGGATGCTGCAACAGGATGCTCCTTCATCCCCCAGCTTCTTCATGTCCCCAAGGTTACAGTGAATAATATCAGAGTGAAGAGCTTTGATTCATCCCTGTGGCTTTCTCCCTGCAGATGGTTTCCCTACACCCACACCCAGCTCTGGTTTCCTCCACACTTGCTAAACGTGTTATCTAAGAAGAATTTGAGTCTGAGCAAGCAAGACCCAAGGAAAGATGTTGTGATGGGCATCTGGATGGCAAAATAAAAGCACCGGGTGTTTGGTGCCTGCTGGGTGCTATGAATGCTGAATAAACCTTACTGCAGTGCTCCAGGGATGGTGTTACCTCTGGAGGGGGCTTCCAGTCAAGACCATGGTTGTCCCCAAATCATCCCTGATCCACCCCCTCCACCCAGGTACGTGACAAACCTAAAATGCCCCCGACATCAAAGAGGGTTGACAGGTCCCCGGCTTCCTTGGCACCGAAATGAGCTGCAAGGAATAGGAGAGGGATGAGGAGATGCTCCATTTGCCAGGCTCAGTCCCAAGTCACCACCCCCAAAACTCACCGACGTTCACAATATAGAGGGGCAGCCAGTAGAGGAAGGTGTAGCTCACCAGCTTGGCAAAGAGCAGGCAAAGGGAGAACTCCACCACACCCTGGGAGGAGAGCAGAAGACATCAGAAGAGCCTCCTTCTCCCAGCATCCTCCAGATGGAACCAGGTTTCCCCCTGATTTCCTGCGCTGGCTTTGCCTCCATCCCCATCAGGATCTAAGGGGTATCCCACAACTCACAGGTATCCGGAGTGCCCCAAGGAAGCTGATGGCTTCGGGCTCCTCAGCTGCCTCCTTGGGGCTGTCAGGGCGATCTGTGCTGCTCTGGCCTGAGGTGCTCAGTGACCCCTCATTGGAGGTGGCCGCTTCAGGATCCTTCCCATTGGTGGTCACTCCTCCAGCATCCTCCTCATCAGAGGTCATCTAGAAGCAGGCCATTAGTAGGAAATGTGGCTCTCATTGCTGGAAGGGGCTGAAACATCAGATTTGTTGCCAGGATGTGACCCAGAGGATGCTCACACTGGAATAGCAACGAGCATCCTCTGTGATAACCGAACACTGCTCTAATTTCTGGAGTTATGACCTGATTCCTGGCTAGGATTCACCATAAACTGAGCGACCACCCAGCCCAGAACAAGCCCCTTGGGAATCAGTTCAACTCACGTGATGCAGAGGTGGACTGCAGCCGACGTCTTCGGGATCTGCAGGGAGAAAGGAGATCCCATGTGAGCCTGGACCAGCCCCCAAGCTGCAGGGAGAAACACGGAGCTCCAGGGCTGAGCTGCATCTCCCAGCAGCAAAAACCCTGCTGAAATCCAAAGTGCTTCCCAAATGTTTTATAGAAAGGCTGAGAGGAGTGACCAGCACAGGGGCTGAGCCTGCCTGGATTATCCCAAAGGATGCTGAGCATCCCCATGGTGGTCAGGTCCCTATCCCTGCTTGCCACAGGCCGGAAATAAGGATTTGGGGTTGCCAAAAAACACTTGGAGATGGGCAAGGTGGTGGTGAGGTGGTGGTTAAGGGTGATGAGGCACTGGAACAGGTTACCCAAAGAAGTGATAAATGCCCCATCCCTGGCAGTGTTCAAGGCCAGGTTGGATGGGGCTTGGAGCAAGCTGCTCTAGTGGAAGGTGTCCCTGCCTATGGCAGGGGTTGGAACCGGATGAGCTTTAAGGTCCCTTCCAACACAGACCATGCTACAATATGATTCTATGAAGGTGAATCACTGTGGTCCTGCTGGTTTTGGTGTTACACTGGTCCTCTGCTGTGCCCTGAATCAGGCCACTCACACTCCACAAGGAAGAAGAAGCAGATGATGCCCACAGCAGCGATGATGATGCCGGGCACAATGAAGGATAAGCCCCAGGCGGAGGAAACCCAGACACCAGCGATGAGCGACCCCAAGATGTTCCCGACGGAGGTGTGCGAGTTCCAGATGCCCATGATCAAACCTCTCCTGTGGGGACAGAGCTGGGTTGGGATCACCGGGACGGCTGCTGTGGCCAACAGGGACCAGGACTGGGGTGGGACACACTGGATAAACACTTACTTTCCCTTCCCAAACCAATTCCCAACACATGCCACAACAGAAGGCCAGCCTGTCGTCTGCACCAGCCCATTGCAGACCTGGGAAAAGAAGAGGCAGCATCACACAGCACCGTCGGACACCCGACTTGATCCATGGATCCCAATTTGGGCTCAAAAATAGCCACCCCCAACCCAAAACTGTCGAGGAAAAGCTTGGTTTAGGGGTTCTCTTCCCACTGGAGTAATCCCGGAGCCATGCGCATTGCTCCTGTGGCTCCGTTGGGAGCGGCTGGTGTTGCCAAATTGGGTGCCCGCCCTGCTCAGCGGGACTTGCACACCCGGTGGTTTCGGCTCCCACGCCATGTGTGACCAGGTTTGATGGGAGTGGAAATGCCCGGCATTCCCTATTGGAAACTGGGGCACCCTGATGCCCAAAAGCCACAGAAAAGGCGGGATGAGGCCGTGGTGGTAAAATCCAGGTCCTCCAGTGCGGATGTACCTGCATGACAATGAAGTACCAGAGGACGTGGATGTCCCAGAAGTACCCGAGGCCGAAGAGTGCAGTGAAGAGCCCGCTCAGCACCATCCCCCCTGACAGGTAGTAGCGCAGGGGGAGGCGCTCCCCGAAAATCCCACTGTGGAGACAGGGAAGAGCATGGATAGGAGCTGTCACAGGTGATGTGTTATCACACCGAGCCAGTGCCTGAATCCCAAGCCAACCCCAGCAGCCTGCTGGGTGCTGCTTTCCCCATCCCGATGGAAACCAGTTTCCTGGCAGACTGGTATGTGGAAGGAAAAGGGTGCAAAGGACCTGGGTACCTGATAAACATCCCGATGGCATAGGCCACCAGGAAGGCATTGTCCAGTGCTCCAAAAAGCTCCTTGTAGTTGTCCCCATCTGGAATAGAAACATTAGGGACACATCAATGTGGTCCCAGAGGTTTTCCCTTCCCATGGCTACTGGCTCATCCGCATCCCCATTCCCAAGACCCTCCTCCCAGGGGTTTCTTGGAGCATGACCAGGTCCCTTCCCAGCCCTGATTTTGCCACTGGCTGCTTCATTCCCTCGTGGTGCCTAAGGAGGAGCCTGAGCCTCCAGCCACCACCCAGCTTAGGGCATGGGGGACCCCATTCTGGCTGCCACGGGGTAGATTTGGGGGTGACTGGTGAGGGCTCAGCCTTACCAAAGGGTGCCCAACTGCACCACGTGCTGCTGTTGGAGTTGTTGTGGGGGTTTGGGTCCAAAGCAGAGCAATTGGGGTGCAGCTGGCTCTGTGGGGAGAGAAAAAGTGGGACTTGGGATGCCTGGGGACATCCACACCCCTTCTCCCTACATCTGGGGTGAGGTTGGAGCCAACCTTGACGATGCTGATGGGCTTTCGGGAGAGGTGATAGCTGGTGTAGCAGAGGAAGGTCAGCACCAGCGTCAGGCCACGGTACCTACAGGATAGAGCGAGCAGAGGTCAGGGATGGGGACACAAGGATGGGGACAGGGATGTTTGAATTAAGTGCAGGAAAATGAGGGAAATTAGAGGGAAAGTGGGGCTTGAGGATTGGGCTGCTGCTCCCAGCAAAGCTGGTGGATAAAGCCCGGAAAATCCCAAATAGGATCCAACACACTTTGGAGTGTGGTGAGCATTGCCGAGGGCTTCATCCTGCACTCAGGGTAGAGCAGAGGAGGCAGGAGGTCAGGGGCAGCTGCGGCACCCAGAAGTCACGGGATCGCTCCAAGTTGAGAACAAAATCAACCAAAAGCCTTTTCTTTGTGGTTTTAACCCATCCTGCTCCTCTGTGCAGTTTCACTTCACAAATGAGCCTAGGGCCGGTCCCTGTCCTGGTTCCAATCCCTATCCCAGGGCCAGTTTCCCGATCCAGGATCAGTCCTGGTCCCCAAGAGAGTGACCCAGAGACCAGGGCTGGTTCCACTTCTGCTTAGTCACTATCCCGGTGCCGGTCCCCGGTCCAGGGTCGCTCCCTGTCCCGGTGTCTGTGCCCACCCTGGAGCCGGTCCCCGGAAGAGTGACCTGGGGTCCAGGGCTGGCTCCCGTCCCGGTTCCGGTCCCAGTCCCGGTGCCTCTCCGCAGGAGAGTGATCCCCTGTGCAGGACCGGTCCCTGTCCCCAAGAAACTAACTGGGGATCCAGGGCTCGTTGCTATCCCAGTGCCGGTCCCTCTCCCAGTGACCCCAGTTCCTGGTCTTGGTGCCTGTCCCCGGAAGAGTGACACTGGGTCCAAGGCTGGTGCCCATCCCGGTACCAATGCCCCGGTTTCAGGGCCGGTCCCTATCCCGGTTCCAGTCCTCATTCCGGTGCCGGTCCAGAGCCGGTGTCAGTCTCCAGGAGCGTGATCCCCTGTCCGGGGCTGGTCCCCACCCCGGTCCCTGTCCCCAGGGCAGTAACCGGGATGCAGGGCTGGTCCCCATCCCGCTCCCGTCCCGCTCCCGTCCCCGCGCGGCTCTCACCGGCTGTCCCGGGGCAGGGCGCGCAGCAGACGGATGCCGGGGGCCAGCGCTGCCCTCATGGCGGCAGCGGAGCGCCCGGTGCCCCCGCGGCTGCTTTTCACCGCCCGGTGGGGCCGTCGCTCCCCGCCCCGGCCCCGGGCCCGCCCCGGCCTCGCCTCCAGCCCCGGCCTCCCCGCAGCTTCCCTCTTCGGCCGCCGGCTCCGGCAGAGGCGAAAACCCGGCTCCAAGATGATAACAGCGAAACCCGGGAGTGGGGCAGGAGGATGCCGGTCCCCACCCCAGGGCACCGGGATTCCCTCTGGATGCTGTTTCTGCCAGTGGAAAAGGCCGGGTTTAACCTTTCCGCTCACTGCCCCATCACCTTCCGTGCCCCGGTTTCAGCTAAGCCTGCCCAGCCTTGCTTTGGGATTTAACTGCAGGGATTTAGGGGTCCTGCTCTCCCTTCCCTTGGGTTTCACACCAGGAGAAATCCCCCCCTCCACCAAGGGATCCACGAGAATGGAGCCGAGCAATGGGCTGATTGTGAGGCTGAGGAGCAGCAAGGGCTTTACACAGCCATCAGTCCTCTGAGCTAAGCACTAACCCTAAACCAGCCAAAAGCCCTTTGGGAGCCCCTCTGGAGTGGTGGGAACAGGGGTGACCAGGGTGTGAGCAAGCGCCTGGGGCCCTGCCAAGGCAACACTTGTCCTTGGCTGCCCGGGAACAAGGCCCTGCCCTGAAATCAGTTAAAACCCACGGCTGCAACTTCAGCCTTTCACTTCCCTGATCCTAGCACACATGGAAACCTCCCGGGCCAGATCCTGCCCAGGTCCCTCAGCACCCTCCATTAGCTCCATAGGGTCTTCTCCTGACGCAAAAGGCAGTTAATAAACAGCATCAGCCACTGTGGAAGAGTCGTGAATGATTGTCCAGGGGGGAAGAGGAGCATCCGCTGGCCTGGTGCCTCCTGATCCCTCAGGAGTGGGATCCCAGAGGGATGAATGGGGAGAAGGAAGCCTGCGACACGCTCGGCTGCCTGCCCTTCCTGCCGTGGTTAATATTGGAGAGGTGGCAGCAAGCAGAAGGTATTAATGATGGGTTATGGTGCAACCAAGAACATGTTACCCAACATGGTGACATCTCTGGTCCAAAAGAATCTTGGTCCTGGCAAAGAGTGCTCACCTGGAAGTTACAGACTGTTCCTAGGAAAAAGGTCCTTTCTAGAGTAAAATAGAAGCTAGTGGATGAGGTCCTCATGTGGAAAAAAGGAAAGGAACAGTAAATAGCTAGCTCTGGAGCATGAGGCCACAGGGGAATGGAACGGGAAGGAACAACCCCAACAGATACTGATCCCAGGTGTCTACTTTCTCCTTATTTCACACTCCAAAGGAGACAAACCCTTAAAACCAGTTTATTCCCAAGCTACAAATCCAGTGCCAGCCCCTAAAGTGGGCTCCTTCACTCCAGCCACTGTCCCCACATGCATGGAGCCAAAAACCTCACCCCAAGTGAGAAGGCACAGGCCAGAAGGACAGGCAGGAGCAGGCAGGAGAGGGCACAGCCCTCCCTGCTCCGTGCTTCTAACAGTCACTGAGATACATGGATGAGGACACACACAGGGCTGTATCCATGGAGGAGACACACACATGGAGCTCTCCCATCACAGACGCCTCCCTGAGCGAGTGCAGAGCGTGGCCAGGCCTCGGAGCGGGAGTGTGGTCGAGGAGCTCCCATCCAGGGGGTCACAAGATGAGATGAGGGACCGCAGAGCACGGCTGTAGGCTGAGAGGGAAGAGGCACAGAACCAGCGTTAGGAGATAGAAGCACCTCTTGTGGCCCAAAACTGGGCTCAGCTTCAGCCCTTTACTGCAAACCTCAGGGAGAAGAACTGGTGTTAAGGTAATTCCATGTGCCTGCAGTTTTACACAGGCTTGCTTGGATGTTCTGAAGTGGGAAGCACTATGAAAGTGTGAGCAGCAGGTCAAGGGAGGGAATTCTGCCCCTCTACTCTGCTCTGATGAAATCCCACTTGGAGCAACCTGCTCTAGTGGAAGGTGTCCCTACCCACGGCAGGGGGTTGGAACTGGATGAGCTTTAAGGTCCCATCCAACCCAAACCATTCCATGATTCTATGAAAGCCAAAGAATTTATACAAAGTCCCAGTTTCTCCATTACCCCCACTATAAAACAACTCCCAGTTGCTCTGCAGGTGTTTCTCCAAGCTGTGCTCCAGATCCAAGCACTACTGTTGAACAAAGTATAATAAGGGATCCAGATCTAAGCACCTTCCCTCCAGAGGCAAGAGCTCCTACCTTGGTGGTTTCTGTAGAAGACACAGTTGTTGGCACAGGTATCCGGGTGGGAATCCCAGAAATCAGACCCACAGGAGCACAGTGGGGGCAAATCAATGTTGGAGAGTTTGATCTTCTCCCTCATCTGGGCTCTGAGAGCTTCCATGTACCTGCAAGGGGTGAAACATTCACATTTGGAAGTAACACCCAGCTCACTGCAGGGATAGGGGACCTGGCCATACCTCATGGACTCCTTATCTCGCTGCTGTTTCTCTTTCACCTTCCTCACTCTCCTCTCCTCCAGCTCAAGCTGGGCCAGGCTCTCAGAGGCTGCTGCACCTGAGGAGGGTTCCTGCTGCTCAGGCACCTCCTGCATCATCTGCTCTGCTGCCCGCCGCTGGTTCTCCTTCTTGCTCTTAATCCTGCAGGATTAAGCACACACATGCTTAGAGAAGGAGCTTCCCCATCCAGCTTCCATTTTCTGCCAGTTGTTCTCTGGGCAGCTCCACATCCCTCTTGTGTTGTTGCACCATAGAAACACCAGCCTGGGAATGCCCTCCTGCCCTTGACCTCCTCCTGCCTGCTGGTTTTCTCCCCACCACAGACTTCTCCTTCCAGCTCCCTCCTGCATCCTGTTCCCATGTGCTCCTGTTGGAAGTGCCACCTGCAGTTCCCCAAAAGAGCTGCTCTTCTGTCCTCTTGAAACCAAGAGCAGTGCCTGGGCTCTAACAGCCACCAGAAAGGACCAACAGCTCCACTTCCCCACTTTCGACTTTGATCATGGACAGCTTGGGTCTTATCACAACCTGTCCTTGCACCTTCCAGGGCTGCAGAAGAGCACTGGGTACATCAGAGACACTCCAAGGATCCCACATCTATTCCAAAACAGGCATTTTTAACCAAATCTCCCTCTGTTTCTGTCTCCTTGCACCTACACAGCCCTTCCAGTGGAGTTTGGGTTGTGGAAGTCACACACCAAGCACAAAGCACGTTCCCTTGATAAAGCGCCAATTATGAAGCACAAAGACTTTAAACTGAAGCATCTGCCATTTCATTCCTGCAAATGCAATAACATGTCACGGGCTGATCCCTGCCAAAAGGACTTAAAAATAAAAGATCCAGGCTGGGTAGGAGCCAAAAATGTGATCAAATGAGACACTTTGGATGTTGCTGCAATGGGGAGGTCAAATCCTTCCATCCAGAAGGAAAACACCAAAGCCAAACTGCTCCAGACAAGTTCTAAACTCAAAAATGTATTTTATATTAAGAGCCTGAGCCACAGCACCGTAAATCTGCTCCTATAGAAATACAGGCCAAGGCCAACTTAAGGCTTTACACTAAGTACAAAGCCACCTCTGCAGCCTGCAGCTCCCCTGCAACTGGGGAAGAGATAGAACATAAAAGGCTATCATCATGACTAGGAAGTCCCTGGTGTCTCACCAGCACTCCCAGGGCAGGAAAAGGCCTCTGAATCTCCAAGTTACATGTCAGGAATGTGGCTGGAGGAGCTGTATCCTTCAGCCTGGCAATTCCTCTGTGCAAAGTGACCATGGGAATCCTGCCCTCAGTGCTCCCACAAAACCTGCCCACTGCAGAGCTGGGGATAGACACAGTCAGACCTACATCAGTTTGTTTGAGAGCAAACATAGGGAAAACATTCCAAGTCTCATTCCTGTTTTGAGTTTGCAGAGCTCCTCCTTAACAAACCCCTGGTAAGGGAGAAGATGATTAAACTACCAAACCAAGTGCCGAGACTTTCACACCAAGGTTTCAACTCTGGAACAAGTGCTAGTAAATCCTTTTATTACACTATACACATTTATAGCTGTGAGGGTGAAGGGTCTGATATTAAAACTCACATAGATAAGATCAGTTTAACAACGTGACCTCACCCCAAAGTTCTAAACCTGGACTGCAGCACAGGCTTTTGGAATCTGTTCCAAGGAGCCACGGTTTGCTGAGATGCAACACTCCCAGCCTGATGTTTCGGCTCCCTACTCCAGCACTGGGACTCAGCGGGTGGAGAAGTGCTGAAGATCTCTGAAGGACTGACACACAGCACAAGAGAGGCCCACAAGCTCACAGCACAAACTCAGCACAAGACAAGCCCAAAGGTATCTTTTGGAGGGGTTGGTCAAGTGAATCCTACCCCAGGGTTAACAGACTGGGCACAATACACCCAGGGATAAGCCAGACAAGTACAGGAGACCTTTCCAGCCTTAGGAAGGGCCCTGGGATGAAGTAAGGAATACCAAAGGGCTGGAGCTCATCTGCATGTACTCACCTGGTAATTCTCTTCTGCCTCTCTTTCTGCCTCTGCTGTTCCTTCACTTGCTCACGCTCAATGCTCATGAAGAGGCGCCTGTACCGCAGGTACTCGTCCTGCCGCTGCAGGGAAGAACAGGCACCTTTGAGGAGGACATCTGGGGTTGATACTGAGTGACACCAGCTCTCAGTCTGGTCCTGGAGCAGACAGAAACCTTGCTCCTTCCCCAAGAAAGCCTCAAACACTTCCTGGTGGACAGGCCCCAGAACTTAGAAGCTGGAAAGATGGTGGGAGAGGAGGACCAAGACATCTTGGAGCATCAGAGAGCTTTGCACCAGCTGAAAATGCCTTCGGATGGAAGCTCTGCCACCTGACAACATCCTGAACTCTCATATTCCTGGTTCCCATTTCAACCCACTTCACCAGAGCACTACAAGCTATAGTCCAAGAGTTTTGGTTCACTGGGGACCACTGGTTCTCTGTGGTTCACTGGAAGCTTTATCTCCAAATAAACAGGGACACACAGCACCAAGCTGGACCCATTGCCTGCAGGAGAATCACAGAGGTGGCAAAGTCACTGCTGAGACAAATCCAATGCCCTGCAGGAAACAACTCCCAT